TTCTTTAACCCTCTAGATGGGTTTACGATGCTATAACATTGGTTTTAATTAGTTAATGAAAGAGGCTATTTAGTGGGTATGTATAGGTACCATTAGAACTTATACAATGCTGGTTTAAACTGATTCTTCTATTTGTTTGTTTAACTATTGAATCACTGTTAAGTTACACATGATGCTCAATTTGACACTTTTCAAGTTTTTACTTTTTCTTATAGGAGATAATTGAAGCTAATATAGAGGGTAAATTAATGAGCATGTTGAATATGGTCATTTTCTTTTATTTCTAACTTATACCTAAGAGAATGAGTAGATATTTAGAGTTGTCTATGGTTATAACAGGTTCACTGAGCTGGTGAATTAATGTGGCATCAAGCTTGCATCAAGGATCTAATACATGGAGTTTTTTATTTGAAGAAAAGAAAATGAAGGGGATTGGTGGTAGTTATGGCTATAGGAGGATTATGAAAATTATCAGTGTATATATTTAACTTTTCTTGTCTACTTGTACAAAATCTTAATATAGATATAGAGAATGAAATGTAATATGCTCTTGCATGTGTATATGTGTATTGTTAATTTTGACTTGCGGGCCTTGTGAAGATCGAAGAAGATACTAGGTAGTTCTTTGGTTACTTTAAAAATTTGTTGTGACTTGGGAACTGATTATTATTGTGTCCATATTAGAAGAGTATAAAAAATAATACAAGATTACATATGAAATGTTTGCAAATCATTATAATTAGCTAGAGAGCAAGTCTTATATATATATATATATATGCATAAAGTGAGTCAAAAGAAAAGGTGCGCATATATAATTGTCGTACGATGATGGTAATCGAGGAAGTGTTTATGAATCTGGTTCCTTACATGCAGCTAATTTATTGTATATATAAAAATAAATATTTCTGTAACTTGTTCATCACATTGTGGGCTTGAGTTCGAAATCCACATTGTCAATTCAAAAATGAATCTCCCTAAAAGTTGAGTTAGGCAGGCGGTTAAAAAGGAGAGCAATTATATATGCAGGTATATATATATATATATGTCTTACACTTTTTTGAATATTGAATACTGGGTGAAGAATCTTTTATTTAAATCTTTAATTGTATATAGAAGAAAATATATACACACACAAAAAATTTTAGTGCATCAAACCAATGTATAGTATACAATTTGAAATAATTTATTCCCATATCTATATTGAAGGAAACTAGGTTACTATGCCAAAGGATTCATTAAATAATTAGGGAGCTAATTAGTTTAATTATAATAATTTTTTTAATTGATCTATATGTAAATTAATTATGTATATATGTTACATAATTCATTATAATTTCAATATATATGATTATATAATTCATAAAGAAAAAAATTAATTATATGACATGATACAACAAGACCATCAAAAGTTGTGTTTTTCTTGTTGATATTTTTCTTTCTATTGATATTTACCTACACATCATAAAAATTTAGATGCTTACCCTTCAATACACATATACAAACATCTCAATATATATTTACCTACCTCAACATGTATTCCTTCCATCGCTACCTTATATATTACATGTATATATATATATATATGTATATATCAATTGGATCAGACAACAAACATCTGGCCCATACTTGGTTTATAGTTAATTTGCTCGACATGCAAACTTTAATTTGTAAGATTTCAAAATTTTTCATGCAAAATATAATTACTAATTACACTCCAACAGTATTCTAATACCATAAAAACTTTGTTATGATATATATACATAGATATATATTGCGATTAATATTTGTTCTTGTGTTGTGAAATATATACGCCAATTTAGTTGAATAAAAATCATATAACATATAATGATCAAACTAGTAAAAGTAGAGAAAAGACATGAGAGGGTAAAAACCAGTATATTTTATAAATTTAGCATTAAAAAAAACTATTATTTTTATTTAGATTTGATAGAGTAATAACGAGAACTCAAAGTACAAAACAAGAGATAATTCTAATTTAATCAAATACATTTCTCACATTTATCATAAATACAAACATTAACAGATTCAAAAAAAATATTTTAATGTCACAAAATCCCCTATTAATTTACAAAGTAATGGTATATTAATCTGTTGTATTTTTTTAAGTTCAACAATTAGTTCAACAACTTTCTAACTAATACCATTGACTTTTAAAAGTATAAATTTAAATTATTATTAGTATGTAACGTGAACTCTGATATAGAAAAAAATATATATCTATGGTTTTTGTATTTCTTTAAAAAAGAATTAAAAAATAAAATGGCAGTAACTGTAAGAAATCAAGACATATAATTTAGTTGGATTAGAAGGTGATGGCCATATTAATTGATGGTTAAGAGATAATATTTGTGAGTGTGGTTGCTATGTATAATTGACTTCAAGTGTCAATGCATGCTGGGAATAATGCAGAGAGAGTAGATAGATGCATGCATTACAGTGAAGCAATAGCTTTTAATTAAAAGAGATAGCCACGATTGAATAATTTTAAAAAAGTACAGCCTTGCAACAATTTACTGATTATATTTTTTTAATTACATTACCTTAAATCAAAAGATTTTTCCATATCCCCTATTAAAGACATAACATTTTTGGAGATAATTTGGGCATTCCACTTGCAGTTTTAGAATATACCACATCTTACCTTATGTAACGGCCCCACAAATTTAAAAGGAAATGCATATAATAATTTGAGTGCGGAAGTGAAATAAAGGTTAAGGTTAACATCCCTTACACGATAACTTAAAAGTACTAAACAAATATCACATAATAAATTCTCTGAAAGAAATACGAGAAATAGGAAAAATGAAGGAAACTATAAAGTATCTAGCATCTACTAGCAGCCTTCTTGCGGATCAGGCTCGGGCTCGGGAACCAGGTCCTCCTGATCTAAAATGGTTAAATAAGGGGTGAGCTACACTAGCCCAGTAAGGACATCACACTATATCGTCGACATAGAAGTAAAGGTTGGTAGAAAATAAAAAACAACCAATGGAGCACTAAATTTTAAACCAATACATTCATTAAAAGTAAAACCATTTACCCTTTTTTTACCATTGGAGAATCTGTGAAAACAACCTATAAAGACAATAATATCATACAGATCATAACTTCATGCACAATCAGTAACATAGGACATATCATAAATTCATATTCATTAACAATAACTAATCATCACCATTTCTCGTTTCACCAGCCTACTAGTATCCATGGGGATCCATAGGGGGTGTCTCCGCTACACGTGAACTCTTTCCCTTAACAATCTCAATTCTAGGGCCGTCTCCATACCCCGTCCGGTATGAGCACCAAGACATTAAACCTCAATACCCCATCCGGTATGAGGGTGAAGCCGGCCGTCCCCATACCCCGTCCGATATGAGCACCAAATGACCAAGTCTCCATACCCCGTCCGGTATGAGACAACGTTCACGGTAGGGTTCCCTATGAACTCGGTCCATCCACCATTTCCTAGGATATCTAGTGAGACTGTCACCTTATCTGTTTATTAGATCACATCTCCTTCCTGTTTCTCCTTAATCTCCATTACAAAATTAAACACAATCACATAAACAGTGAACATGCACCCGGTAATACAATCATATCTTAAATCCCAAAATCACACAGTGATCAAGTAAGACAGTAGTACATGCATTTAAAACTCTAAACTAGATACTGCCATGCCTTTACAAAAGGAATCCACATGAATCCACAGCAATCCATAATTAATTATGTATATTTATCTAACTTGTACAAAAGATTGTATTATTATTTATTCAAACTTCACATCTATAATAGGAAATAGGGTGAGGGGTCTTTACCTGATTCGACATCGAAAACTAAATGGTTACTGCACCTACGGGCGGTCCCTTGGTTCCCTGAATTTTCTTTCGGGAACTGGAACGCGCTTAAGGTACCTACAAATGTCCCAAATAAACCCCAAAATCAGTCCAAGGGCCTACTCGGCCAATTTTGCAAATCCAACACGGCGGCTCTACCGTGCTTCGGCGATGGCGTAGACGCCTGTGGTGGCGACCCGCCTCGGATTAGCTATTTTCGGCCATTTTTGGTCGAATTTAGCAAAACTTGCATCGGTTCCTGCGAGAAAACACACTTAGGGCCCTCGGTGGGCAAAAAAAACATAGAAAACTAAAACTCACTGGCGGTGGGGCTCTCTAGTGAGGCGGCGGGTGGCAGTGGTCGGCTCCCGACGGCTGGGCTGTCTTCTCTGACGAGGGGCTCTGGCAGTTAGGGTTAGGGTTTGAGTGCGGATGGTGTTATTTACACCCATCCACTTTTGATTTGGGTCGTCCATCGCTTTTGATCTGAACCATCGCGATTCAATATGGTGTTATTTACACCCATCCACGATTAAATAGAGAGAGAATCTGGGTCGTTCATCGCGATTCAATATGGGCCGTCTGTGTGCGATGCAATCTGAGTCGTATGTGCGCAATGCAATCTAGGCCGTCCGTGCGTGTTTTCAATCTGGGCTTTCCGTGCGTGCGGGAATGGATCTCAGCCGTTCGATCACGCACATGCGGATTGCCCATGTGGTCCCTCCCGTGTGGCCTCTCGCGTTAGCATCTCTGCCACCTATCTCGTCCTGGTTGGTCGGGGCTGCTGACCGGGCATCTGACGTGGCGTAACTTTTATAAATTGCATTTTCACCTCTGTTTTTTGATTTTTCTTCAAAAAATACCCCCATAACCCAAATTTTTACCCTTTTTTCCCCCAAAATTGTTTTCAAATTAATCCTTAACAAATTTTTCCCCTTTTTTAAATAAATCAAAACAAAATAAATAAATAAATAAATATATTAAAAAATAAAAAAAATTAAAAATTTTTATTGGGTGTTACACCTTACATGGTATATTCTTCTATATTGAAACATTCCGCCCCCATTCCTTACTAATGGTTACTCAACCGTTGTGTCATTTTATATATACCCCCTCTCGCCCCTTGGGCACACATGACAAAATACCATGACTAGAAAGAAGGTTAAGCTTGCTTATATCACTAACAACTCTGCAAGAAAAGCCACATTCAAGAAAAGGAAGAAGGGGCTGATGAAGAAAGTGAGTGAACTTAGCACTCTTTGCGATGTCAAAGTGTAACACCCAATTATTTTTATTTTATTTATTTTTATTATTTCTATATAAATATAAATATGTATTAATTGAATTGAATTGAATTTATTTTATTTTAATTTTATTAAATGAAAATAATAGTAATAATAATAATAAAAAGGGTAAAAAAATAATTGAGGATTTAATTGAAAAAAATTTTGGGGAAAAAGGGTGAAAGTTTTGGTTCTGGGGGTATTTTTGAAAGAAAAATAAGAAAACGGGGGTCAAAAGGTAATTTAGAAAAGTTACGCCACGTAAGCTGCCCGGTCAGCTGTCCCGACCAACCAGGACGCACCAGGTGGCAGAGACACTGACGAGGGGGGAGCCGCATTGGTGATCCACATGCGCGGGATCGAACGGTTGAGATCTGTTCCCGTGCGCACGGACGGCCCAAATTAAATTGCGATGAACGGTCCAGATTCACTCCCTATTTAATCGCGATCGGATGGTCTAGATTAAAAATGATAGATGGCCCAGATCAAAAGTGGATGGGTATAAATAACCCCATCCGCACCTAAACCCTAACCCTAGCTGCTAGAGCCCCTCGCCGGAGAAGACAGCCTAACCGCCACCCGCCTTCGCACCGGAGCAATTTTTGACCTCCAAACGAGGTAAAATTTCTACCTTTTGCTCAGAATTTGATTTCAAAACTACCCATGGCAAAATCGGAGTGAAAAACTGGCCAATTGGCCAGAAAAGACCGCTGAAGCTCAGCGCCGCCGCCGCGGGGTGTTTTAGTTTTCGCCTCCGATGAGGGCTTTCTTGATTCCCGTTCGATGTGATTTTTTCATCATTGTGATCACCATTTCCTCCTCTATAGGTTGATCAGAGCAAAACACCAAACTGCAACGTGAGCCGGAGGAGCCGCCGTATCGGAGTGCCACACCGTGGGTGAGTTTCAGTTTTTTACATTTTTTCAGCCCACCGAGGGCCCTAAGTGTGTTTTCTCATAGGAATTGATGCAAGTTTGGATGAATTCAGCATAAAAAGGGCCAAAAATAGCCAACCCGAGGCTGATCGCCGCCGCGGGCGATGACACAATCGCCGGAGCACGGCGGAGCCACCGTGCCGGATTTCAAAAATTTGTCGAGTAGGCCCTGGGACTTATTTTGGTTTATTTGGGACATTTATAAGTACCGTAAGTGCATTTTAGTTCCCGAAAAAAAATTTAGGGAACCCAGGGACTGCCCATAGGCGCAATAACCATTTAGCTTTTCGGTGTCAAATCAAGAAAGAACCCCTCACCCTATTTCCTATCATAGATGTGAAGTTTGAATAAATAATAATGCGGTCTTTTGTACAGGTTAGATAAATATGCATAATTAATTAAGGTTGCTAATGGAGCCCGAACTGGACATTATTCTCTGTCGATTCCTGTTAGATTTATTTTACAGATTAAATGCATTATGGTATCTGGTTTATCTATTCTATGATTTTAAATACATGTATTACTGTCTTACTTTACCACTGTATGATTTTAGAATTTAAGATATGATTGTATTACCGGGTGCATTTTTATTGTTTATGTGATTATGTTTAACTTGGTAACGGGGACTAAGGAAAACAGATAAGGTGACAGCCTCACTAGATATCCTGGAAGATGGTGGACGGACTGGGTTCATAGGGAACCCTACCGTGAATGTAGTCTCATACCGGATGGGGTATGGAGACTTGGTCATTTAGTGCTTATATCAGACTGGGTATGGGGACAGCCGGCTTTACCCTCATACTGGGCGGGGTATTGAGGTTTAATGTCTTGGCACTTATACCGGACGGGGTATGGGGACGGCCCTTGAATTAAGATTGTTAAGGAGAATGGTTCACGTGTAACGAGGACACCCTTATGGATCCCCATGGATACTAGTAGGCTGGTGAAAATGAGAAACGGTGATAATCACTTATTGCTAATGAATACGAATTTATGATATACTTTATGTTACTGATTATGCATGAAATTGTGATCTGTATAATATTACTGCTTCTGAAATTTGTTTCCATCAATTCCCCGTTGGTAAGAAAAAGGGTAAATGGTTTTATTTTAAATAAATGTAATAGTTTTATTTTAAATAAATGTAATGGTTTAAATCTACTGCTCCATTGGTTGTTTTAATTTTCTACCAACCTTTACTTCTGTGATGGTGATATAGTGTGATGTCTTTACTGGGCTAGTGTAGCTCATTTCTTATTTAACCATTTCAGATCAAGAGAACCTGGTTCTGAAGCCTGATCCACAAGACGACTGCGAGTAGATGCTAGATGCTTTATAGTTTCCTCAATTTTTCTCATTTCTCATATTTTTTTCAGAGAACTTATTCCGTGATTTTGTTTAGTACTTTTAAGTTATTGTGTAAGGGATGTTAAGCTAAATCTTTTATTTCACTTCCGCACTCAGATTATTATATATATTTCCTTTTGAATTTTCGAGGCCGTTACATAAAGCCTGTACAATCATTTATAGCCCTTATGACTCGCAACCAGATGTTTGGCCTTCCCCTCTCGGAGCCCAAAATGTGCTTGCTGACTTTAATAGGATGCCCGAGATGGAGCAGAGCAAGAAGATGGTGAATCAGGAGAGCTTCCTACGCCAAAGGATCACTAAAGCAATTGACCAACTGAAGAAGAAGCGCAATGATACTCGGGAAAATGAGATAACGGATATCATCTTCCAAAGTCCTACTAGGAAGTCCCTCTACCAACTCAACCTTATTAATCTCAACGATTTGGGTTGGCTCATCGAACAACACCTCAAAGAAATCCAAAAGAACATGGAAACACTCAGCAAGTCACCTCAGCCTCAGGAGAAAATAGACAAAGGAGTGATGAAGGGTCCTGATGAGACTTTCATCAAATCGAAGAGGATTCTACGGTGCAGACACTACCAGAATAATGGATTGGTATGGTCCAGTGTGTTTAATTACTCTTAGAAATTGAGAATTATGATATTTGATTTTGAATTTTTTTGGGTGTTATTGAGGATGTACTTTAAATAACAAATTAAATTCCACCATAGAGATATGTTGTTAGTTTCTTAGTCGTCATAGTCATCGTCTAAATAGTTGTAGTCATCATAATAGTTGTAGCTGTCATCCTCACAGAC